ATATTTTTCAATACAACTATTTCTTTGGAACTAGAAGTTTCTTGATAAATATGTAAGGCAAATAAATTCCAAACATTTTTAATAGGCATATAGTTCAGCTAAACAAATTCATAACAAACATTTATCTAGTGTCAAAACATGAAGTTATTTGAAAAAATGAAAAAATTCTAAAGATACTAACAACATTATGTAAGTTATTGAAATAACCCATAAACGTCAGAATGACTGTAAACATAATAAATAGTATGTGTTCTTTAACCATTTCAAATCTGATACAAAACCTTTGAAGTATAGAGAGCCTCAAGGGCCAGTTCTGGGTCCATATTATTTCTCATTTATATTAATGACTTTCACAGTCATTTTCACAGAACGGCCCAATAAGCACAGTTGGTGTCTAACTTGGATCAAGGACTCACTTGGGAACAACACATACTGAAACTTTCTCAAAAGCTATTCAGCCAATTTTTTTTATTTAGAAATCTAGCTAAGGTTATCTAGGTAAGGTACATATTTCTTTGTCGATAACAGTATTTAGATAACATAAATCATTATTCAATGATATTTGTGTAGATATATGGAACCTTATTTTTTTTTAATAATAATAATATGTTCTTATAGTGGCATAACTTTGATTATTTGATAAACCTACATTATACATCAAAGAAATTATACACAAATCATTAAAACGTGTTTGTTAATAAATTCTTTGTATAAGTACGATAATATTATATTTAGTACCATTCCGAAAATTTATTAAGCAGTGCTGATTGACACAATAGAGCAGTAAAATGTTATACATAAAGATGTAATAAATATTTTCGCTTACTTGGTTCACTAGTAATAAAGTTATCAGAATTAAATGGCAAACTGGTCTTTATACATGAATTTTACTTTATTATGAATTTTATAATCGATATCATCCCTTTTCTTTACCTTCTTTTTTTTTTGTCTGTGTGTACAGAATGCCAGTTTTTTAATTATATATAATAAAGTGGTTGCGATTTACAAATAAAAGAAGGTACATGGAATAACACACTTAAAAACATGAATTATTACAGTTAACAGTTTTTCAATCAAACAAAACAATACTGTTTAACGAAGTGCACCAACAAACCAATATCACCTAATTGTTGACTGTATTAAATTTGACCTATCATTCACCAAGACCTTGAAGGCATAAATACAGTGATTAAAAATTCACTCATTATAGAAAATATTTGCAGCCCAGCTTATTCCTATGTAGAGACATAATTAGTCTTATGAAAATTGAAAATGTGGGAATTTATGGACTGTAGAAGTTTAGTCAATAATATCATCAACTATTTTAAATAAATTACTATTATCCAATTACAATATTATTGTTTTCAATAAACGCAACTTTACTGTTTCGTGTAATGCATCATAATTCATAGCCAATGTTTTCTATTTTTACTTCTAGTTTAATATTGACAAATCTCAAAAATTTTCTTTGTAGTTTTTTAAAAGTCTCTATATACAGTTGTGGTAATATGAAAACTGCATATAGCACGCATAATTAGTGCGAAAAGAACAGTATGAGGTTGTTCTGCAAACAGAGGGAGACTGAAGATATAATAAAATTAGTACCAACATACGGGCTTGTTTTTAAGAACCATTAGATTGAATTCTAGTTTTGTCAAAGTGGCATTCAGTTTTGATAACGGAAACATCAAATTATACGTTTATTTTTTCATTAGTAATAATTCTGGTTTTACTTGCAAAAAACAGAATCAAGAAATTGATATTTCAAGTTAGGAAAATGGTAACCCTTACAACTGAACATAAAATTCAAAGTATTAAATGGCATTATTCTGGAAATAGTGCTGATGATATAATCGGTAGGTTTTCATTTTCATTTGAAGGCCTTATACCAATAAAATCTACAATTCACAACATTACCTTTAGATTTGAAAAAAACTGGTTGTGTCAAGAATTGTACAAAAAGCACCAGCAGAAAACCAGCTCATGCAATTAATGAAGAACGGGAACAGCATGAAACTGCCTTATGTAGTTTGGCTGAAATCAATTTTCCTTGTAACAACACCCTAATTTCAAGAGAAACTGGTATTAGTGCTAGAAGTAAAAGTAAAAGAAACAAGTACCATTGCTACCATTGCAAAAAACTCAGGAAATTTTCTCTGCTGATTATGAACGAAGGATGGTGTTTTGTGAGGACATGATGAAACACACTAATTATTGTGACGAAGATTTCATGAAAAAAATCTTGTTTACAAATAAGTCTTAAAATCCTGAAAGAATACATAGAACATAGAATAAATATTAAAAAAAGCCAAAAAATTTAAATATATTAAGAACTGTAAGTTCTTACAGCTGGGGAACCTATCCAGAAATGTGTATTATATATGTAGGTCGATCACTTCTAGATTACGGATGATTTCTATACTATCAAGCAGCCTCCAGTCACTTGAAAAGGGTAGATTCCTTATCACACATAATTACGGTATAAAGATGTAGAATATTTTAGGTCATGAAAAGTAATTTTTGTTATTATACATTAAGATACTTAATATACTATCCGAATCAGAAATAATTTTAATAAAAACTAAGCTTCTACAATATTTATTATATCTAATGGCTCATTACTGGTGCAGAATTTAAAAAAAAACTTATTAATTTTCTTAGATTTTTTTAGTAATTTTCTTAGTAAAAATATTAAGTTTTGTGGACATTTAATTCCCTACAATGATTTTCACACCACATAGATAATTTGCTTAGTTAATTTTTTTAACTTAATTTCAATTGATATAAAGTTTGGTAAATAGTGGTCTTTATTTTTGTTATCAAGAATTTATATAAAATATCTTATCATCATCATCATCTTGGTGCTACAGCCCTTAGAGGGCCTCAACCTTCTCAAGCACTCTACGCCATTCTGTTCTGTCCCTCGATTGCATTTTCCAGTTGCTGACTCCAATCTACTCAGCATCCTGTGTTACCCCGTCCATCCACCTCAGCCTTGGTCTACCCCGTCTTCTCACTCCCTCAGGTTGCGCTGTTAGAATCTTCTTTATCATGTTTCATTCAGGGACCCGGGCTACATGTCCTGCCCACTGCAGGCAGTTTCGCTTAATTATAGTAGTAATATATTTACCGCGAAACATATGCTTGTAGATATTCAGCAGTTCAAAGTTATATCTATGCCTCCATACTCTGTTCTCACAGACCGCTCTGAATATCTTGAGTAGCACCTTTCTTTCAAAAATCAATAGAGCGGATTCATCTGTTTTAGTTAGCGTCCATGTATCTGATCCATATGTGAGAACAGGGACTATCAGTGTTCTATGCAGCTTTATACAAGTTGTGAATATACGAAGTATACGAAGTGATGAATAAGCTATTATAATAGCTGTTTTTAAGATACGGATTTTCAGTAGTTTATATTATTCAAGTCACTAGTGCTTCATCATAATGTTTATGATTTTAGACTTTTGCAACAATTGTTTGACTTTTGATGCAATTTTGCTTGTTTTGAACATTGAGTAAGGCTACAGAAAAATTTTACTAAAAGAGTTCTCTTGTTACAGAAATACACCAAAATCACTGCCAACTTTTCCAACTTGTCATAATAACAGACAACCCAGATTGCTGTATTATTCTATCACACTCTAGATGAAGCAAGTTAAAAATTTTCATGCCTACCTTTATCAGTCAAAAGATAAAAGTAAACAAGACCTTCTAATATTGACTTTTGACACTAAACCTGAAAAGAGGGAAATCTAATCATGCTGCAGCATTGATAAAATATCATGTACATTTGAGTGAGGGTGAAATGATAAAAATATGTGCCAAGTCATTTCAAAAAAGACAAAAATGTTGAGTCAAAGGTGAACTTTTTCTCTTTTTTCAATTACTTCTGAGAAATTATTACTAGAAAAATAAATAAAGGAGGATAAAGGAACTACCTATTAATAGTCTCCTTTCCAAACACTACAGAGAAAATTGGAAAAGCCTTCCTAAACTAAATTTTTACAAAGAACACTTAAAGAAAGATTCTACCTCACCAGAAGAAAGTTTTGAAAATTGTCTAAATGACAAAAATGATGCTTTTTGTTTGAAAATAAGTCTTTTCATATATGATTAAAAATGTGGAAGTTTTATTTTAATGAATAAATCCCTTATGTTTCTTATTGAAGTGAAAACTATTTATTTTTATTGTAGATATGTATTTGTAAAACTGGTTATTTGCAATAATGATTATTGTTTTTAAATCTGTAAATATATGAGGCTAAAAACTTCTAATTTCCATTGCTAAAAACTCTAAGCAACATTAATAAAATTCTTTATGTTGTGACCTAAACACTACTCTGCAGTTAATAATCTTTTTATCTTCTACAAAATGGCTTTTGATCATATAGCAAGTGTTGAAAATAATGGTCTCAAATATATATTAAATATTGTACTAACTAATTCTTCACTATACCAGAGGAAGGAAACTTTTGTACTTTGCTTTTGAAACTTGTCATACAAGAATTGAATGACTTCATAGAGTAAAAAATGACATACTAACTCAGTGTTGTTGATTTATTTTAGGTTTTCACTAAAACTTTATTGAAAATAAGGTATTTTACAAAAGAAACTAGACTAAAAGAAGAAACACATATTAAAATATTACATACACATATTACACATATTAAAAATATGTTAGTAATGCAAAATGGAACTGTGAATCTTACAAAACACTACTGATTTGATCATCCTTAATTTGAGGTGGAATACAGGGAGTTAAATTTAATAAAAGAAATCATTTATACAGTCATATACTGATGTAAGGACCTGTGTATAAAAAAACTTTTAAGATAGGTCTTCAAAGTCTGTAAAACTTCTGTCCAACTGTAACAAGTATGATACTGCCATTTTCACAGACGGCCCCAAATATTACCTTCATGCCATATTATAGATATATAGAAGTTAAAAGTAAATCAACGAATATTATATAGAAAATAAAATGGCATAATACTTACAGAAGGGGAAGGAGATCCATCATGTTTAGATGTTTGTTCTTTGTATGAAACACTAAGGTAAGTATCCGACTTGGAATGATCTCTCTTAGTTTGTGGCCTGGGAGAAGGCCTAGGGCTACTTCTAGGACTTGAAGATGGACTGACAGACCTAAAGTTTGAGATTTAGGTTTGAGGTTTGAGATTTAAGTTACTCTATTGATTTAAAATTAAAGGCTCTTACCTGTTTTCACTGCTAATTGACTGTTTATCGTATGCTGCAATATTTGATGAAGACAAATTCGTTTTCATTTTGTTTTTATTATTTTCGACATGCTTGGTTCGCTGCCGTGTTTAACAAATTAGAAAAAACATTCTTGAGTTATGTATGTATTTACTCTGCACACTAACAACGAAAACGAATAAAGCGACCTCAAGTTATAAAACGAATTACTACATAGCCAACAATATGTTTCCGTTATCAATTTTTTCGAACTGTTTTGAAATGTTTATTTAACTAGAGAAAGAACAATCACATAACAATCATCTATTCAATAAATACAACTGTCAATACCAGTAGACTATTGTTTCTGTCAGCGGCACGGCGGCAGCTATTTAATGTCAAATTTGACGTTATCTCATGAAATTCCGGTCTCTTCTATAGCTAATATTCAGCTAGTTAATTAAGAACATTTTGTGCAATATAAAATACCACAAATCACCTACCACCTAGTATAAATCATTCTAAAATCTTAAATACCTATTTACTATCTTTAATAGGAATTGACCACAACGTCAGTTGAAAATACATTTATTTTTGACGTTTCGTTTTCCATTTCGAAAGTTTTTCAACTATTTTGTTTTGTTATTGGTATTAATTTGATCTTCCTTATTCATATTTACAATAGGTTTCTCCTAAACCTCAATATAAAATGTATTTTTCTCGCCGTGAAATTATTGAAACTTCATTGAATTATGACGAAAAAGGATTTCAAATTTTTACATTTTACGGATGAGTCTATATCTTCGACCACTAGAAATCACAAGCTTGCAAAAGTTCTTCTTGTTTTGAATCATCTAAAAGAAAAGACTGGAAAAGACGCTTGGGATGAAAACAATATATACCAACAAAACGCAAAAGATTTGGGATTAAACTTTATGCAATTTGTGACAATTAGTTCCGAGTGTAAAATATTTTATAGAATCTACGACTTCTGAAGTACTATTTATTATCTCTTACTCTCGAACTAGATAAAGGTTTTAGATTGTTTTTAGACAATTATTACACAAGCATTCACTTAGTTCAGCAGTTAGTAAGGAAAAGAATGAACTGCATAGGAACTATGCGAAAAAATGCGAATAGATTTACCGTTAGATCTTAAAATACCCACCATTGCTAGATAGGTACCGAAAAAATTAATGCTTCAGATAGGCGATATAAAAAGATATTTTAATGCTTAGCAGCATTCCTGATTAGAGTATGCAAAAAATTGTAACCAAAATTGAGAAGTAGAAAAGTCTTGCTTCATATTTGAATATAACACAAAATGGGCGGCCTTTATTTAACAGACAATTATCTCCATTTATATGGAACTGCAATAAATAGAACAAAAAAGATTTATATGAAGACATTTCGGAATCTGTTAGCGTAACCGTTGTAAACTTATTTCAAATCTACAAAAACAATGGAGGACAATTAAAGATATTTAATTATCTGATAGAGCTTGGAGAAAAAAATTGTTGAAAAGTATAGTGTTACCATTAAATAAACAAAAGAGAAGATTGAGAACTAAAATGCCGTCAGGACTCATAGAAAGACATTGTAGTTCTGAGGTCAGGAAGGGCGCGTGGCTCTCTGGCAAAAACGCGGTCCTTGAGAAGGCCCCACTGGAAGAAATCACAGCGTGTCAGATCATATAGCCGTGCGTGTCACTCAACAACTCCTCGTCTGCCTACCCATTCTCCAAAATGAGGATGTAGTGAGGATGTAGTGGCGTCATGTAATTTGTTTAACTATTTTTGTCCAATTATCTCTACCCTGTGTGTGCTGTTTTGCTTTGGAGAATGAGTAACCAGTCATCTCCTTTATTTGGTCCGACCATCGTACTGGAGATCTTCCTCTGGATCTTCTACCCGCTACGTTACCTTCAACTATCATTCAGTCCATGCCTTCCCTACTTCTAGTTAGATGTCCAAAATATCTCAGTATATTTTGGTTGATAGTTGTGATGAGTCTAGTTTTTATATTAAGTTCTGCTAGAATTGAGTTATTTGTGCGATGGGCGGTCCATGGTATGCGCAACATTCTACGGTAGACCCACATTTCCAATGCCATACGCTTTGAATCGGCTTTTTTTTTATTGTCCAAGTTTCTGAAGCATAGGTGGCGATAGGAAATATCAATGCTCGAACAAGGCGTAATTTTGTGTTTTTTGTGATGTCAGTGTTCTTCCAAATTTTTGTGAGTTTGGCTGTTCTGGCCATTGCGATGCGTCGACGGATCTCGTCTTCGCATCCTCCACTGTTAGTAATGACGGAGCTTAAGTAATTAAATTGCCTGACCACTTCGTAACCTGCCATGTTCCTTATCTCTGCTTGGTTGTTTCTGATTCTATCGATAATCATCACTTTGGTTTTTTGCATATTTATTTTCAATCCACATTCCGTACTCACCGTGTCTAGCCTATTCATAATGTGTTCCAGTTCTTCTGGTGATGACGCCAATATAACAGTGTAATCAGCATAACGTAGGTTTTTGATTTTTCTTCATTCTATCGTTGCTCCACCTTGCCATTCCTCAAAAACTTGACGCATTATATGTTCACTATATACATTGAATAGAATAGGGGATGTTATGCAGATTTTAATTTGAAGTTATTCGAAACCACATTATTAACTCTTACATTAGCAGTATTATTTACATATAGTTTGTGTAATAAATATATTAGATGTTCTTTAGTACCCATTTCTCTAAGTATATGCCCCATTTGATCCCATTTTACGGTATCAAAGGCTTTGAAATAGTCAACAAAGCATAAATATATTTCAATGTTAAAGTCTCGAGATTTTTCGATAATTTGACGAATATTAAAAATATGTGTTCCTCTACCTGGGACAGGGTGTAATGATAGATCGTCTCCACGTGGTGCACCCTGGGTAACGCTAAATGGTCTATCAATTTTTGGACGCCAAACTAGCCGCTGAGCTCTCCTGGCAACCAGTACGATAAAGAAAGATAAAGAAAAATAAGAACAGGAATCTCCATATAGAAATATGGAAAACTACAAAGGTGTTTATCAACACGATTTGACGAGACGTATCGGGCCTACCCTCCGTATATGTCAAATAAACATAGAAGGAATTAGTAGATCAAAATCCGAATTTCTTTCAAAACTACTAATCGAAAATAACGTTGACGTCATAACCATTCAAGAAACTCACGCACCGAGCTTCTTAACAGGGGTAAAATTCCGGGATATAGCATGATTGGAGCCACTTACAGCAATGTTTATGCCACTGCAACTTACGTGCATAACAGTATACAAAATGCTAAGATGACGGACTGCAGCTGCGAAAATAATGTGTCCATAGTCTCTACAGAAGTGAATGGCGTAATCATAAAAAACATCTACAAACCACCATTAACTAAATGGCCAGGAGATGTAATAAAAGCTGTAGACAACCAACCTACAGTTTACATTGGGGACTTTAACAGTCACCACAACAAATGGGGATATGAAAACAATGATGAAAATGGGGAGAAACTACTGGAGTGGGCCGAAGAAAATAATATTCACCTTATCCATAGTCTAAAAGATAAAACTACCTTCTTTTCTAGAAGATGGCGCAAAGGCTACAACACTGATCTATGCTGGGTTTCCATTAACTCACAGATGCAACCACTCCCAAGCTCTCGAACTGTACTTCCCAGTTTTCCTCACAGCCAACATCGACCTGTCATAATCGAACTAGGCATACAAATTCCTATCGTTGAATCCACGCCGAGACCCCGTTGGAATTTTAACAAGGGAAATTGGCCCGAATTCACCAAAGAGCTGGACACCTGCATTCGCTTCATTGACCCAAAGGCCAACAATTATCACAGTTTTTTAGGAATGGTTATCTCTATCGCCAAAAAACATATCCCCCGAGGTTTCCGAAAGGAGTACATCCCAGGCTGGACGGAAGAAAGCTAAAAACTATATGACGAATTTTTGAAATCAGAAGATCCCGAAATTGGTGACAACTTACTGAAGTCACTGGACTCAACAAGACTTAATAAATGGAAGTCTACCATAGAATATATTGATTTCTCACGTTCCAGTCGAAAGGCATGGGGACTGATCCGCAAACTGGACGAAGCAAGCAGAGCGCAACACTTAAACAAATCAACAATTAAGCCAAATAAAATAGCCAATAGAATAATTGAGAACTCCCGAGCTCCATCTGAGAAAACTCATACATCTACCGTAAAAAGAGCGCTTAAACAACTTAAAGCAAATACTCCCGCAACATCAGAATACTCACGAGCCTTCTCATTGGATGAAATAAACGAAGCGCTTAACCAAACTAAAACAGGAAAAGCAGCAGGCTTCGATGGAATGTATCCTGAGTTTATAGTCCACACTGGTACAAAAACACGACAGTGGCTCAAAAAATTCTTTAGCGACATTGTGAATACAGCTGTGCTACCCCCAGAATTCAAAAGAACAAAAATTATCGCAATCCAGAAGCCTGGCAAAGACAACAAGCTGCCTGAAAGTTACCGGCCTATTGCCTTACTCAGTTGCTGTTATAAATTACTAGAACGACTTTTATATAACCGAATATGTAACACCATTGAGGATGCTGTACCAATTGAACAAGCTGGATTTAGAAGAGGACGAAGTTGCTGTGACCAAGTGCTGTCCTTAACTACATTTATTGAAGCTGGCTTTGAAAGACGCGAAAAATCTGCCATAACATTTATAGATCTCACATCTGCCTATGACACTGTGTGGAGAGAGGGCCTTATTTATAAGCTGATGAAAATCATACCTTGCCTCAAAACTTGTCAGCTGATAAACAATCTACTGACTAACAGACTATTTCAGGTATATATGAATGATGCACAGAGTAACGTTAGAAAACTTAACAACGGCTTACCTCAAGGCTCAGTGCTAGCTCCTTTATTATTTAACCTTTATACAGCAGATATACCCGAAACAAAATCGAGAAAATTTGCTTATGCTGACGACCTGGCCATTGGCTTCCAAGATAATAGTAAAGAAGCAGGAGAACGAGCTCTAAACGAGGACTTAACTACACCGAGTAACTATTTTAACAACTGGCGCTTACGTCCTAACACAAGCAAAACTGAAACCTGTCTCTTTCACCTGTCGAATCAACTTGCGGGCGATACTCTCAATGTAACTCTAAATGATACAGCTATCAAATATAACAACAACCCCAAATATCTAGGCGTCACACTTGATAGAACACTCACCTTCAAAAGTCATCTTACAAACGCAGCCGGTAAACTAAGAACAAGAAATAACTTAATATCAAAACTTGCTGGAACAACTTGGGGTGCTTCTGC